TATCCTGTGCCCATTTTTCAATTGGGTTATTTACCTTTATCTTATTGTGGTGCTCAAGTATTTTATAAATAGGGATTTGATTCCTAGAAGGCCCCGTTCATCTATTTTATCCTCGCCTGGTTGTAGATATTCCAGGATGCTTGGAAGACTGTTTATGTTGTGGATTAGGACTTCTAGACTTCTTCCAAGCTATTCTTTAGTGAAATATATGGTCCTTGGTTTTAGTCCTAGGTCCATGATCCATTTTGAGTTGATTTTTGTGTATGGAGTGAGGTGTGGATCTTGCTTAAGTTTTCTACAGATAGTTTTCCAATTTTGCCAGCACCATTTGTTAAAAGGCTGTCGTTTCCCCACTTAACTGATTTCATCCCTTTGTCAAAATCAATTAACCATAGGTAGATGGGCTGATTTGTGGATTCTCTATTCTATTCCATTGATCTGTGTGTTTTTCTTTATACCAGTACCACTCTGTCTTGACCACCATGGCAGTGTAGTAGGATTTGAAATCAGGGAGTGAGATGCCTCCTACCTTGTTTCTCTTTGTAATAATTATTATTTTTAATTACTGATTATATTTTGCTAGAAATTAAGGACCAAGTATATTAATGTTTAATAAATGTTCATTAAGTTAAATTGAGTAAAATGTAGACTTCGTTGTTTGATTACTAGCAAAACTATTTTGTAAAATGAAGCTTGTTAAATTATGTCCATTTTATACAGGACAGGCCACTCCTCTGGTCTCAAGGACACATAGCCCAAGCAGGTGGCCTTCAGCTTGATCTGGCCCCATGTGTGGCTCCATGCAGCCAACAAGCCCTCTGCTGGTCCATGTTGCCAGCTCACTGGGCAGCAGCAGCACTTTACCGGATCAAATGCCCACCGCCCTCCTCTGACCACCCCGCTCGGCCAGCCACCAGGGACAGAGCGGGTTAGTGTACGGCCTGGGGCTGGTTCATCACACTGGAGTGTACTGCATGTCCACCTAGATGCTTGTCACCTGTCCTGAATAAACAGCTGGCAGCGCCACCCAAAAAAAAAAAATTATGTCCATTTGAGAACAAAGATGTGCCTGATTCAGGCTATAGTCTTTTCAGTCACTTGCTATTTTTTGAGAGCTGGACAATGTATAAGATGACAGAAGAATTACTGATGCCTTTAAACTGTGATGTTGGAGAAGAGAGCTGAAATTCATTCCGTGGACTGCCAAAAGAACACAGAGATATGTCTTGAAGAAGGTGCATCCAGTGTGCTCCTTGAAGGCAAGGAGATGAAACTTCATCTCACATACTTTGGATGTATTGCTAGGAGTGGTTTATTTCTTGCAGTGGGGCATCACGCTTGAAAAGATGGAGGGGGCAGCAAAAGCATAGGTTGACATCATTGTGACACGGCAATGAGTTTGAGGGTTTCAGAGATGGCACAGGATAAAACAGTGTTCTGATTGGTTTTTCATTGGGTTGCTCTGACTTGACAGCACCTAACAACAACAACAACAACAGCAACTTTAAATATTTAGGAGAGAATGTATTTTATTTTAAAATATGCCTTAGTGATTGCCCTTTCCAATTAAATAAAACAAGGTTGTTTGTTTTTTGTTTGTTTTTTTAGGATTTATTCACACAGATATGACAAAAGATTTGAAAGAAGAAAATATAAAGAAAAATATTCCTCTTGGGAGGTTTGGAGAACCGCTTGATGTTGCACATGCTGTGGTGTTTCTTTTAGAATCACCTTATATTACAGGGCATGTTTTAGTAGTGGATGGGGGTTTACAACTCATAATATAATTTCCAGGTTATTCAGGACAGTAACAATAATAATGATAGAAAAAAAGGGCACATTTTGGTATGGTTATCTATGGGGGTGACATTTCCTTATCAATCCTATTAATACTAAAACTATTAATTTTTCTTTTTATATAAATATCTGAAAAGAACAATGGCCAATACTATTTCCTAAAGGATATGTATCTTTTATAATTTTAAAGCAGTTTTAATATTTGACCATGCTACAAATAATGTAAACAGTTACCTAATATGTCTTGAAAACAGAAAAAATGATTGTTTAATATTTAAGAGTTATTAGACTAGATTTTCTAGACATTGTCTTTACATACTATTGCTAAATTAAATGTATTTCAATAATATTATTTGTCAATAGTTTTAGTAGTGCTGGAGATTTCCATGTGTCTTGGTGTCTGTCTTTTCCTGGGTTTAGGAAGTTCTCAGCTAAGAGAACCCTCGTCCAGAGGACACACTGTACTCCTGGATTTTCTTTCTTGGTGGTATTGAGATCTTTTCTCTGTTCACTTCTCTTTCCTTTTATATCTTGTAAGATAAAAGGTGATAATGTCAATACCAAAGGGTATAGCTGGCCCCATACATATCTCCATATTCAAAACTCCAAGTACCTGAAAACTGTACCATGCTTGGTCTGCAACCCAGCTCTGGATTGATGAGGTCACTAACTCTTCCTGGAGTCCTCTGCTTTGACGGGGCATCCTGTGGATTCTGCACCTGGCACACACCACATCCATATTTGCAGCAGTGCACCTTTTGTGAAGTGTGTCATGCTTCAGCAGCTTGACTTGGCAGTGACTGTTTCTTCATGTCTGGAAAATGTGCCATCTTTGATTGGGTGCTCTTCCTGCACCCATTCTCTACACTGGAAAATACACCATTCCTGGCCAGGCTTAATACTATAGGCACCTTTGAAGCCAACAAAAATTTTGCCCCAGGCTGAGTTCCCCATCCTTTGATGCTCTTTAGTCCCTAAGTTGTGCTGTTCATGGCATGGCACACATCTTAGGCCCTTAGTTCTCTCTTAGATGAGCAGCATCTCAGCTCTGGCTGAGCACCCCAACCTACTGCTAGACTTGAAGGCACTCTATCCCATATCAGATACCTTGTTTCTACCCTAAAAGCAGTGACAAGAGTACCAATTTGCTGCTTTCCTCTCCTCCAAGACTTTTCTTTTTTTCTCTTATTTTTAATCTCTCATCACTTTTTAAATTTTTGTTGTTTATTTCCTCTCCCCTCCCCATTCCTTTCTCCCTCTTCTTCTGTAGCTCTGCCACCTTCCTTTACCTTTTTTCTTTTTTATTACGATTTTCCTTTCTTTTGTACCCCACTCAGCTTTGGTTCTTCTTTTTTTCTTTTACTGTCTGTGGTGTTAGCTGGTGCGGGGGGATTATATACCAATGAGGGAGTTTTTCTTTTGCTTTTCAAGGAGAGGAGCAAACGGGGGGGGGGGGGGGTGCGGGGAGAAGGGTGCAACAATGAATGAATGGAATTCCAAAATCTCTGTAGATGTTCATTGAAATGAAAAATAAACAAACTAAATTTAAAAAAAGAAATAAAATGTATTTGTAAAGAACAAATCATTGAATGTACAAAATTCTATCATTCTATCTCCAGCTTCATTTCTGTTGCCATGTCCATGTTTTCCAACTACTGACCCTTCTTCCCAGTTCCCAACTTTTGTATTCCAGTCACTCATTATCATTAATTATTGATTGAATGTTCCATTGATTTCTGACTGAAAAAAAGATTGGCTTTTCTAGCCATTCAATTTGCCCCCTTTTGCTTCCAGCTACTTTAACTGTAGACACAGAATCTTTCAAAGTATCAACAGCTGTGGGACTTGGATAAGAGGGAGAGTGCTTCCAACACTGAGCAGCAAGACTTGATGGAGACTTGAGCAAGAACCTGGTGAGATAGAGATCCTTGTGATATTGGTGGAGAGATTGTGGCATTGCTGTGGAGAAACTCTGCAAGCCTGAGATAAAGGCCACAGTTAAAGGTTTTGCTGTTCTTGCCAGATGATGGAAGGAAAAGCTTACTGCTAAACAAGAAACTGGAGCCTGGACTAATTGAAGAATTGTGTCTTGGAACTTATGTGCTAAATCCTAGATTTGCTTTGGGTGATATCCATTGCCTCCGTTTCCCGCAACTTTCTGCCCTCATAAACCCCACTTTTGGTACCACAGTCTGTGAGTCAATATTGAATAAACAAACCTCTTGCTACTAGTGTGGCTCTAAAGACACCATGAGAATGGGCTATGGGCTCTTTATCTGCTTTTTTGCTCTGGGATGGTGAGGGATTGTGCTATTTTCACTCCCTCTGACACTTTCAGAAAGACACTTCTGGCCCTGTGGCTCTGTGTTCCATTTTCTACTCTCTAGACATTGTCCAATATTACTTTTTGTTGTTTTGTTTTTGCTTTCATTTTTGTTTTGTTTCTCTTTTTCTGTGCCTTACCTAACAACAGACATATTCACACCACATCCATGCACACACCTCCAGCAGCTTCACCCATTGACCAATAGTAATGACTGGCTTCTGCTCCACCTGATTGATGAAATACTAGGACTAGCACCAGTCCCATCTATCCTAAACCACTCTTCATGGTTAGAAAACAAATAAACAAAATGTATACATTATTCCATCTTCTTTACTCTCCAGAAAACAGGACATTGAAACACTAAGAATTGCCAAACTAGCAAGCTGTGCAGCTCACTCACATGGCTCACCAAATAGATCAACAAAATAATATGAAGACAACAATATCACAGTATCATGGAGGCAACACATAACTACTGAAATAAATTGGGATAAAATGCCACCAAAACAGTGACCAAAATACAGAACCAGAAAATCTTTAAGTAGAAAAGTTATTAGAAATTCTTGATGAGAAATTAAGGAGAATGATAGTTAAATGTCACCATTGGGTTGAGACAAAGTTTGAGGAAAGTACAGACAAAATCCAGGAAAGCATAGATAAAACTGTAGAGAATTAAAAACAAAACCACCACAAGATCAAACAGGTAAAAGAAACGGAAAATTAAAATCAATACCTCCAGTTCCCTAATTTTAGTCTTGTAATTTTTTTTTTTACTTTGCTTCCTTGTCTTGGTCAGATTCTGAGTGAGGTTGTCATGTATTAGGTTTGAATTGTTGTCTGTTATTGGTTCTCTGTTAAAATAATTCCTTTTTATATTTTTTTAATTATAAGAAATAAAAAGAAAACTCATAAACAAAATTAACACAGAAAAGTAGATAAAACACAACAAAAAAGAGCATAGTGATATGACAGAAATAAAATCATACTTAATTATGTATAGTTTTATTTTATACTGGATGCAAATGGACTGAAAGCACCAGTTAATATAGTTGCAGAATGGATAAGGAAATATGAATTATGAATATGCTGTCTACAAGGGACATACCTTAGACACAAGGAAAAAAGAAACTAAGAAAATAAAAAGGTGGAAAAATCTGTTATGAAAGTGGCAATTAAAAAAGCCAGAGTAGCAATATTAATTTCTGATAAAATAGACATCAAGGCAAAACCTAGCACAAGAGACAAGGTTATTACATACTGTTTAAAGGGTCCATTAAACAAGAGGACCTAGATAAAATTATTATCTACCAACAAAATGATAGATCCCTAAAATATGGAAACATATTTGAAGAGAGAAATATAGGAACTTCTACAATAACAGTAAGAGACTTCAAAATACCACTTTTAATGAGGCTCAGAAAAACTAGAAAGAAACTGAACAAAGTCAGAACTAAATAATACAACTAACTGACCAACTTGGTCTCATAGACATATATTGAACATCCAACAAGAGTACAATATACCTTCTTTTTCAGTGCACATAGAACATTCTCCATAATAGAACATATCTTAACACCTAAAGCAAGACTTAATAAACTAGAAAAAAAATTCTTCAAAGCATCTTCTCAGATCACAATTCTATAAATTATCAATAAAAGGATCATCAAGGGAGAGAAATTTTTGTACATTGAAACTATGTAGCACTCTGCTTGAACAATCATGAGTAATGGAGGAATTAAAATTATGATCACAAAAGGACTAATATTGTATAAGATTGCTAATATTCAAAGCTAAAGAAGGGTTTATGTCCAGAAAGAAGCATCATTTCATGGTTTCCAGGGTTTGGAAGGGAAAGAGAAAGGAGTAAAAACAAAATTTAAAAAAAAAATTAATAAATAATAGATTATTAAGATGAGTGAAGAGAAAGGCTAAATACAATAAGATTATCAGTACAGTATTACTAAACAAAGCAAAAACATCAGAGGGGAAAATGAATGGAAATCAGAAGTATAGCGAGGAACTGGGAATTATGAATATGAATTTATGAATGGGTATTGAAATTGAAGTAATGAAAGAAAATGTTCTTTTTTCTCTCTAGTAATTTATTTACAAAATTTGAATACAAATTTGAACAAATTCTTTGAATTTCTCTCGACGCCCCACACCAAATTGTACAACCCAATGATTAATCACCCTTTCCTTCTGCATATCCTAAGGATCCAGGAGGAGTAGAAGAGGCTGGAAGCAGAGTGAAAATATGCTTAAATGAAAATTGTATTTTCTTGTAGACACTCACTGAAATCACAACAAAAATTGTTAAAAAATTAGAAAAGAGTAAACAATTACATAATTTTGAACAACTGTGAATAGTAATTAAATGTACAGTAACAGTGCATGAAATATCTTTACAGTGTGCTAGGGAAAAAGACTACAGACTTAAAAATGTTCTGCAGAGACTTTTTTATTAAGCTAAGAATAGACAGGCAAAGGCAGTCATTCAAATGAAAGAGATCATCAGCATATACCCAGTACAGAGGCTGTTGGAATCTTCTCAATCACTACCATGTGTTGGCTATACCAAACCCGCTGCCATAGAGCTAGTTCCCACAAATAACAACCCTTCGTTGAGTATCTAAGGCTGTAAATATTTATAGGAGGACATTG